TGAGCCACCGCGTCCTTTGTGACAGTCCTTCAAATATTGGAAGTCTGCTATCATGTCTCTCCTAGCCCTTCTCTTCATTAGACTAGACATATCCAGTTCCTGCGACTGTCCGTCATAGATTTGAGCCTCCAGCTCTCTGATCATCCCCCTTGGCGTTATCCTATTTCTTCGGCCCGTTTCATTTTTTTTGGGAACCCTGCCGTTTAAGGACTTTGGGATGGCATCAAATCAGAACATCTCTGCCAATTTTATCAAGTGACCACTGCTGCGGAAGAATTCCTTAACGCATGGAATAGGCCAGGGGTCTCCAAATGTGGCAACTTGTGGACTTCAGCTCCCAAAATTCCTCAGCCGGCTATGCCGGTTGAGAAATTCTGGGCGTTGAAGTCCACAATTCCTAAAGGGGTCATAGTTCCTCACCTTTGCTTTAAAAGGGGAACACAACCATTTCTGTGTAACTCTCGCAACCTTCCTTGAACCAAGGCTGGAGATGCTCAATTGGTGCATGATTTAGTAACCACTTCCCCCTTCCCCGCCCCCCCGTTCCTTGTCGAATCTGTCCCTCCAGATTAAAACCTGGATGTGCGGGCATTAATTTTAATGAACGACCCAAATTGGTTTCGCTGGTGCCGAGTAGGCTTACGCGCAGATTGCTTTTGACAAGGATGGAGGGCAGAAGCAGGCCCCCACCACCTGAAGAGAAGAGAAGGAAGGGACTTAAACATTTCTTACAATCTTATTTTCTACCTCTCTCTCTCTTTTTAATGGCGGTTTCAGGCTTTCTGGGACAAGCTTCCATTTTCACTATACAAGCCAGTGGTGCTAAACGAAATGGGTATTGTGTGTGTGTGTGTGTGTGTGTGTGTGTGTGTGTGTGTGTGTTAAATGGAGCACGGCCTGATCCGTTACTGTAATAATGGGACCCAAATAGTAGTGCTAAGAGATCCTTCGCCTTGCAAGTCCTTCTTGCTCCGTCTTTGCCATGGTCACCCTCCTGGGGACACAGCATGCTAAATACTTTGCAAAGAGCCCTAAATTCTCCTTGGGCTCGTTCAGATGCCAGACGGGCAGCTGTGCTCCACTTCCCTGCAAAGTGGAGAAGGTTTCATGTGGCAGGTCACTGCTCTGGGCCAAACTCCCTGGCCCACCAAGATTTTTCGGAAAAGGTTCTTTCGATGGATTGAGAAGCTGCCTGCTGCAAAGCCAGCTTCTAGCATCGATGCAAGCCAGTTTGATCTACTGTAGTGGTTTTAAGGGTACCAGGGTTAGAAAGCTGGAGACCGTGAGTTCGATATCGGAGGGGCCTCTGTATAAATATTTGAAATAAATAAATATTTATTGCTAATCAGGGTTGGGAGAGCAAGTTGCTTTTCCACCCATAGCCGGGGAGGAAAAAAAAAACAAAAAAACGTCCTGCCAGATGTTTACTTCCATAACCTGACAAACAATCCAAGGGTTTGTTTTGACTCTGTGGAGGTGACATCCTGGTTTCCTTGAACCCATGGCTCCATGCAGAGCCCGGACAATGCGGGGTTTCGTTTGAAGCTGCTGTGCCATGCCACCACGCCTTTCTCGAGAATTGGGCAGGTCTACTCAGCTGGCTGAGCTGCCTGCCTTTCGCGCGATGATGTCACTCTTAAGTGACAATCTTACCGGTTTTAATTCAGGAAGTGCCAAAATTAAAAGTTGCTTTGTAATCCAGGCTGCAATGGGGAGGTGGGTGTGAAACCTTGTTTTCTCTTGGGATTCTCAACATTGGCCACTTTAAGATGGGTGGACTTCAACTCCCAGAATTCCCCAGCCAGCATTGTTTTCTCAACCTTGATCTGTTGATGGGTGGACTTCAGCTCCCAGAATTCCCCAGCCAGCATTGTTTTTCCATATGGCCCTTTAAGATGGGTGGACTTCAACTCCCAGAATTCCCCAGCCAGCATTGTTTTCTCAACCTTAGCCTGTTGATAGGTGGACTTCAACTCCCAGAATTCCCTAGCCAGCATTGTTTTCTCAACCTTGATCTGTTGATGGGTGGACTTCAACTCCCAGAATTCCCCAGCCAGCATTGTTTCTGAACCTTGGCCTAGTTAAGATGTATGGACTTCAACTTCCAGAGAGATTTGAATTCTGGGAGTTGAAGTCCACTCATCTTAAAGTGTCCACATTTGAAAAACATTGATTTAACCAATGAATAAATATACCGGTAAGCAGCAACCTATTAAGCTGTCCTATTGCAACTTATTAAAAAGCCTAGCCTTCATCAAACATCTCTGCTGAAAGCATAGTATAGCATCAGTGGCTTAATTTGTCCCTGTAGCTGGAGAAACACCCTTTATTTCAATTTAGGTGACAGTGCCGAAAGGAGGAGAAAAAAGTTCCCTAAAAGAACATGGTCATAATTAAAGACTCAGCTTATATGAGATTCATATTCAAATCCATTCCCATGGAGGGAATGGCTTTGGGTCAGCCCAAACTCTCTCTCAGGGTGGTGATTGTTGAAAAGCAGGTTAGTTGATTGACTCAGATGTGCTAGCCCATGTACATATTAGCCTGAAAGTTGTTGTTTTTTTTTTAATTAATATTTGCAATTAACAGTGGAGTCCTTGGGAGGCAGGAGGCATAACATTATTAACAACTCTGGCCTTATTAGGGAAAAATTACAGCATAAAACCATCTGCCAATGTATTTAAATGAACTTTTAACAAATCAGGTGGTAAAAAAAGGAGATGGTCATTGCTTTCTTAAGATTTATATTGACTGTTTCCCTATGACTATCATTAAGCGTTGTACCTTATGATTCTTGACGAGTGTATCTTTTCTTTTATGTACACTGAGAGCGTATGCACCAAAGACAAATTCCTTGTGTATCCAATCACACTTGGCCAATAAAGAATTCTATTCTATTCTTCCTTAATTTTGGCATCAAAAGCCTGTTTAATATGGAAAATTGGAGCCATTTTCTAAAATTCAGAAGAAAGGGATCCAAAGATGCACATTTCACAGCATTGGGGGTCACCGCAGAGAGGGCCCTGATATGCATGATCAGTTTAACGTTGCTTTTATATATATTTCAATGAATAGTGTTCTTATTTCCATTGGTATACATAAAATATTTCTATCAATAAGAGAAAGGGTGGGGAAAAGCAAAACAATATAGAAAGAAGCAGATGAACAAAAATAGAAATTGTCGGTTGTCGTAAGTTGAGGACTACTTCATAAATCTTTTGTGACAATAACAAAGTTGGTTTGAAGGGAGGGACTGATCCTGTACCTTCAAATCGAGAGTTTAGATCCCGTCTTTGCAATATAAAATGAAGCACTCTTTTTAATTGCTCTCTATGCTTAGGGCATTCAGTGTTCTTCCTAATTTACTAGGGTTTCAGTATGTGAATTCAGCGTCACATCAATATGTCTTAAAGCTTCTTTCTATGCCACAAAAAAGCTATTGACTATAAAGGGAATTATAGGACGAGCCCAAATCACGTGTGTGTCTAAATAGGATAGTTTGAAGGTATAGTGATTTTCAAACTGGGTGATTTTAAGACACATGTGGACTTCAACTCCCAGAATTCCCCAACCAGCCATGCTGAATATTAGAAAGGGTAGTTCTGGAAAGAAGGAAATTAAGATGTAATTTTAAAGAGAAAAGGTAAAAATATACATGTGTGATCACTCAAAAAGATTGTAAGCTGGTTCTGTATCATTTTTTTCCCTTTATTTCTGTTTCTACTTCTTTTCTTAGGCATTCCTTCTTATTTTTTTTGTTGCTTTTTAAAATATTTGCATTGTTTTTATCTTGTTAAAAATTAACAAGATAATCAAATTAAATATTTTTTTTTTAAAAAAGAAATGTGAATTTTGCTGCCACCTACCGGAGGGGTGCTTTTACACCCCACATTCCAAATGTACAGGATGCGCTTTGAACATGGAGCATAGGGTGCTTATACTTCAACCTATTTCATTTTAAATATTTTCCTTTCTGATAGGATGCCATTCCCCATTTCAATTTTTCACTGGCTGGGTTCACACAACATTCTAGACTAGGCTGAAAAACTAGCTTTTTTGGGGGGGTTCTCTATGTTATAGGAAAGTAACCATTGTCTTAGTCTGTGCTGCGAACTGGACGATCGCTTTAAACCGTCATGAATTTTATTTCTTTGGGCATCCCTGGTGAGATCATCATCTTTTAACGACCCCATAATCCCTTGCGGGGTGGAGTATGGGCAGCTGAATGGAGCTGAGTATTTATTGGCCGGATGCCCTTCCTGTCACCAATGCGGAGTTTTTTCCCCAGCAGATATATTCTCATCTTGCCCAGAGAGAGAGAGAGAAATATCTGCCTCTACCTAGGATCGAACTCAAAGCCTCCTGATTGTGAGGAGACAGCTCCACCTCTAGGCCACCACACCACTCAATCCCCTGGTGAGATGAACTTAGCAGTTGTTTGCTCGACCCGCTTTGGGGTTTTAGCGTGTTGTGTGAAGCCCATCCGTGTCAAGATTTGGCAAGCGCAGCCAAATCGTTGCTCATTTAAAAAAGAAAATAAAATTCTGTGGTAAAAGATGTCTTAAAGGTAAAGGTTCCCCTCGCAGATACGTGCTAGTCGTTCCCGACTCTAGGGGGCGGTGCTCATCTCCGTTTCAGCGCTGTCTGAAGACGTCTCCGTGGTCATGTGGCCGGCATGACTCAACGGCAAAGGCGCACGCGACGCTGTTACCTTTCCACCAATTTGTCCCTATTTTTCTACTTGCATTTTTTACCTGCTTTCGAACTGCTAGGTTGGCAGAAGCCGGGACAAATAACGGGAGCTCACCCCGTTATGCGGCAGCACTAGGGATTCGAACCGCTGAACTTCGATCGACAAGCTCAGCCTCTTAGCCACTGAGCCTCCCCTAAAAAAAAAAAGATGTCCTAGGTTGCCTTTAAAAGTGCATCTCAGTTACCAGAAAGTGACAACCTTCAGGAACTGACCTGTCACTCAGCATTTTCGTATTTTCCTTCTCTAGTTGTACTTGCCCAGCAAGTAACGGTCAAACATGAGGTCACTGGGTACCTGGGGAAGAGAGTGGTTCTGCCCTGCAATATTGCGGTAACTGGACCTGAGATGAAGGTCAGCCAAGTGACTTGGGTGAAGGAAGTCGGAGGCCGGAGGCAGAATGTAGCCGTCCACCATCCAACGCACGGACAGAGCTACCCGATGGAGAAGAACAGCAGGAGGATCCGTTTCGCCGTAAATTCCTTGACGGACGCCACGCTGGTCATCGAGCACCTCCTCATGTCGGACGAGGGCACCTACTCTTGCGAGTTTGCCACCTATCCCAACGGCAATGAATTGAACACTACTAACCTGATCGTCTTAGGTAAGAACCGAGCACTTGCTTTCCATCTAACACAGTGTTTCTCAACCTTGGAAGCTTGAAGATGGATGGACTTCAACTCCCAGAAACCCCCAGCCAGCGCTGCTGGCTGGGGGATTCTGGGAGTTGAAGTCCACCCATCTTCAAGCTTCCAAGGTTGAAGCCTCTTCTCCACCTGCTTTGTGGGCACATACACTCCTTAATTTACAACATCTCGCTTAGCGACTGCTTGAAGTCAAGAATCCCCCAGCGCTGGCTGGGGGATTCTGGGAGTTGAAGTCCACCCATCTTCAAGCTACCAAGGTTGAGAAACACTGCTCTACATCCTCCCAATCCAGGAGGCCACCACAGCTCCTTCTGAAGCCCAACCAGAAAGCCTCTTCTCCACCTGCTTTGTGGGCACACACACTCCTCAATTTACAACATCTCGCTTAGCGACTGCTTGAAGTCAAGAATCCCCCAGCGCTGGCTGGGGGATTCTGGGAATTGAAGTCTACCCATCTTCAAGCTTCCAAGGTTGAGAAACACTGGTGAAAGCCCTCTGGCTAACACTTTGCAGGGTTCACCCCCCACCCCCACCCCAAATGAAGTTGTGAGATGCTGAGTTGGAGGAGCTCTTAAGGGGTGGGGGAAGTCCACTCCTTGGGTGGAGTTGCCCCGTGTCCCTCATTCAGCCTTAGATTTATTTATTTATTTATTTATTTGCTGAACTACCCCAATTTTGCCCGAGTCCTCTGGCATTGTGGGTCCTTCAGCCCCCTGAATACTCAACGAGCGAAGCCAAACCACATCTGTTTCTGTGCCCCCTACATCTGGTACTCAAGTGTTCCTGACGGTTTTCAATGACTTCCCAGAAGCTGTGGTGCGCTTAAGCAGATTTGCTAGGTCATGCATCCTCGGATTGCGAGATAGCGGCCGTGTCCCCATTCTTTCAATTAATTACGGGCCACTCATTTATTCTTTCTTTGTTTTATGTTTTGTTTGTTTTATTAGATTTATATACCGCCCTACTCCCGAAGGACTCAGGGCGGTGAACAGGCACACAATAAAATACATAGATACAAAAATTAAAAGACATAATTAAAACCAGATTAAATAATTTAGCCCGAGACAATTAAAAAAATCCCAATAATTTAAAACAGATTAAAATTTCGATTTAAAAGAATTTTAAAACAGGGGAGAAAATTAGGCCAGGGCGGCTTGCTGGAATAGGAGAATCTTAAGAGCACGGCGGAAAGTGCGTAGATCCGGGATCCGCCGTATCTCTGGGGGGAGCTCGTTCCAGATAGTGGGTGCCCCCACAGAGAAGGCCCTCCCCCTGGGGGCCGCCAATCGACATTGTTTAGCTGACGGCAGAATGAACTAGGCTAATGACACTTAGTAAAAGGTTCTTTTAAAATTAAAATTTTTAATTTTTGGGGTTTTAAATCGGCCAAATCTATTTAATTATTTTAATTTTTAATTATTGTTGTGTTTTGTGTTTTTAAATTGGCTGTACACCACCCTGAGTCCTTCGGGAGAAGGGCGGTATAGAAATAAAATTATTATTATTATTATTATTATTATTATTATTATTATTATTATTATTATATTATTATTATTATTATTATTATTTGAGAGGCTGCCACAAAGAAGAACTCGGGGTGACATTATTATTATTATTATTTTATTATTATTATTATTATTATTATTATTATTATTATTATTATTATTTTGCGGAGCAAAATACCATCCCGCTCCCAAAGACTTGACTCTGCTCAGATCTAACCCTACTTCGGTTTCACTCTCCAATATCTGCAGAAAGATTGGATTTGATAAAGGTGTTGTACTTTCAAGTTCCCGGGTTTGAGAACTCTGAACACTGACGGACTTTATGGGAGGGGAAAAAAGACGATTCCCTTTTCTTAGTTGTGGGTCTTATTAGACACGGAGTTTATCGGCTTGACCTCAGGGCAGTGATGGCGAATCTTTTCGGCACCGAGTGCCAAAAAGGTCGCATGGAAACATCGTGTGCGCGCTCGTCGGGGTTGCGCTATGGAAAAGACAAAAATCCGGGTTCTAGCATGCATGCACACCAGATAATTGGCTGGCCGGCACACACACCGCTCCCACTAAGCCACGCCCATAGGTAGTAAAAAAAATTGAATTCCGCCACTGATAAGAATCCCAACCTCCATCTTATTTCTCCCTTTCTTTCTTTCTTTTTTTTTATGGCCGGCAAAACTAAGGTACCTCCTGAGACTGATTTTGCATACGTTGCAATTACAAAAATTATAGGGATTTTTTTTTTTTTTTTGCCCTGTGCGCTGTGCATTCTACACAGAATTTCTTCCGGCTCTTATGATTACAGGGGAATTGGTGGGAAAGTTCCAAACGCCTCCCTTTCTCTTTTATCTGGAAATCCCATTCATTTTAGCTCCAAGAATGGCAACCCCCTCCAGGGCTTTATGATTACAGAACTTTCTCTCCGAAATAGATGGCACCTCTGGCTGGGGAGACCTGGCAAAGGATGTCAAAATTCAGACTCCTTGTCTATTGTAGTCTCCTTTCCTCCCACCCACCCCTCAAAAATGATGTGTTTACGCTGCGCAAATTAGTTGCAAACAAAGGTCCCCAGACACTAGCTTTAGA